CATCACAACTTGAAGATTATTTTAAATAATTTTTACTTAATGAGGTGCTGTGGGACAGTAATTTGGCTTTTTGGAGTAGTCAGACAAAAAGAGTATCTTCTTCGTCTACCACAATGGTTTTCTTTTTTTGATTGTGTGAATTATATTTTGTATACTACACACTACAGAAAAATATTGGTAAAATAAAAAAAATCTGCTAAATCATCAGTCCCAGAGCCTATATTTTGCTACTCTGAATCATTGTCCTGTCAGTTCTTTTGTAAGATTTAAGTGACTCCAATATTTAATTTGGGTTCTTAAATTAAACAATTGCAACAATTTGCTTGTAAGTAAAGTTGATTTCTTTTCTCCAAGGAATGCTTCCAGCACTACAGCTAATGCCACTTTATCACTGTTTACTGCTTCCCTTTTACACCTGTATTAATATATCCCCACAGTACAGCAGAATAGTGATGCAGTTCTCAGAATTGTTCTTATGCCGGTAAAGGTATTTTTAAAACATGACTGGTTTATTTTTTCTTTGCATTCACCTACATTTAGAAAATTAACTTTTCTCCTTTTGTTTCTCTCCTTCAGGGAGTCTCTGATCCAATTTCCCATTGTGTGCAATCTGTCTATTTAGAATGACTTTCTGTTTTTTTCTTCTGGTGTTATATGAATGTAACTCTGTAACACACAAGTGTTACGTAAATATATGCATACCTATCTATATACATATCCATCATATTTATTTTTATGCTTTTAAAGTGAGGAATTACAAATATCAAGTTTATTTGAAGTTAAAGATTGTGTCTTACATTCACATACAACATGCTAGAAATACATTATTTAATTCCAGGTGAAAATAATTTCAGAATTTTACACACAAAATGGAGACGTAGAAAAAGTATATGAGAGTTCTGTGCTTGTATAAACGTGCAGTACACTGATTAAGTTCTTGCATTCAATTTTAACTCTGAATAATTACAAAAAATTTGAAAATTTTGAATAGGCATAACATATGTGACCTTGACTGAAGTTTGGCCTTCTCTGTGAAGTGCGGGACTCAAATTACAGGAAGGTGTTTTCACTCTTTTATTACATTCTCCTTTTATTGGTAGCGTAATTCTCCATTCAGATGAGGATTAGTATCTCAAAATTAATACATGGTTGTTACAGCCAGATTGACTGAAATCAGCCAAGAGTATGCACTTTGAATTGTACTGTTCATCTGTCCTTTCTCTTCTCCCTTCATTTATGTTCATTACTTGCTGGAGTGGAAATGCCAAGCACACAGGCATGCACTAATACTTCTGTGTCTTCCAAATTAGAAGTGAAGCTTGCATTTAGTAGATTGCATAATTGCAAGTATATAAAATGTACATGAAATCCTCTACTAATTTCTGTGTGATTTTTTTATGTCCAAACTTAATTGTTATCCACAGCATGTGGTCGAGGCCTGTTTGTGTTCTGGAGCATTTGATATCCATCATGGATATGGTGATATACATATCCATGTATAGATATGGTATGATATACAGGTTTGAACCTAGGCAAAGGACTGCAATGAGGTCATTGTCATAAATGTGATTTTGAAATGTTAATATTGTTATGAAATAGAAATGTTTTTACTAGATCTTTGACTTTGTAACATCTGGTAATTTCTGCCTTTCATTTTTTTACCTCCTAAGTACCATTATGTGACAGCTTAAGATATTATTGCTTTAAAATATTAGTTTTCTTAGAAGAAATAGCTAAGGTTAATAAAGGAGGTTGAGAAAGATCTTCTGTACCCATAAGCATAACCAATTCCACTGAGAATTGCAGAGAAATTTCGCTCTATGATGCGTGTTAGGATTTCTTATGTTGTTTGTTAGGATTTCTTATACTGACAGTGACTATGTCATCAAGTATGTATTCCATAATGACATCTCAATGTGTTTAAAATAGTCATAAAATAACATTATCTGTTATGAAAATGACAAGATCAAATTTTAATGCCTGTGTTTAACTCAACATTCTTCTGTTCTCATCTTTTAAATTGAATCAGTATTGAAGGTATAATTTTTCTTGAATTGACTTTCAATTATATAGTAATTATAATATAGAATATAGAATATAGAATTCTTTTTGAAATCTATGAAAAGTATATGTAAAAAGGGAGGAGAAAAGACCATTGCTTTGCTTTTTTTCAGCAGATTTTGAAACTTTGTAGCACTGCCACTTTGACATGTATTTGATATGTATCTTACAATTGAAATATTAAAACTATTGTAAATTTATTCCTTTCTTTGTAAACCCACACAGCATTCAAGAGATCTGATATTATCTATACTTTTTTTCAGTCACGCTGGTTACTATTAATCCGTATTCTAAGTGTTCTAAATACCTAGATTTCTTCATAACTGATGTAACACTTCTATGATCTGACAGCATTTACTGGCTAATCAAAAAAATCAAACACACTGAAGCTTTACAGTACTTTGAAAGTTGGGCCCTTCATACCAAATAGTGCATTTGCTAAGTGCAAATCTGCACTGTTTTGGTATGACAGACATACAGACAGACATAAATTGGCCTTCCAGTATCAATTCATACATCTAGTATCTGTAGGTTGCAGAGGGACTCATAGGTAAACGAAACTGTATGTGCTCATGGTGCATACATTGAATTCACAAGTGTTTATTCCCCTTCATTCAATGATTTTGTATGACTCTGTCTTCAATAACATTGCGGTAGAGATAAGAACTATATGCAAACATGGTGAATTGATCTTGACCAGCTGTCAGACCCCCACCCAGCCATGCTTTTGCTCTCCCTCTTCAACAGCACAAGGAGAGAAAATAAGATGAAAAAGTTTGTGAGTTGAAATAAAGACGGGGGAGATCCCTTGCCAGTTACTGGCACTGGCAAAACAGGCACAACTTGAAGAAAATTAATCTACTTTATTGACATTTAAAATAATAGGATGGCAGTCAATATACTGCCCCACCCTCCTGTCCTCAGGCTCAACTTCTTCATTCCCAACTCCTGTATCTTCTCCTGCATGAGTGCTGCAGGGGGCATGGGGAATGGCAGTCTGCCCACAACATTCCTCCCAGTTACTCCTTTCTCCTCACACTTTTTGTGCTTCCATGTGGGTCCTCTCAATGGTCTGCAGCCCTTCAGGGTAAATCTGCTCCAACATGGGACTTAGGTGGGCATTAATTCTTCTAAGGAGAATCTGCTGCTGTGTTAGCTCTCCACAAGCGAGCATTTCTTCAACAAATACCCAGCTTGCTCTGGAGTGGTCACCTCCACGGGCTTCAGGGAGTTTCCTCCTTTATTATGGTCCTTCCTCTCCATGGGTTCCTATCTGTTCTGTGCCTGGAGCACCTCCTCCCTCTTCGTCCTTCTCTGACCTTAGAATTTCCAGTGTTCTTTCGCACTTTTTTTTCTCTTACCCCTCACTGCCTGGGCCATGTTTTGCCCTGTCTTAACGATGCTTTTACTGAAGCACCACCTGCTTTACTGGTGAACTCAGCTGTGTCTGCAGTGGGTACATTGCAGAGCAACCCTGACCGCTTCTTGCTGACACCATCCCTGCAGCCATCCCTAGAGCCAAAACTTTGTCACCAGCACCCAGTGTAATAAGATGGAGAGAAAGAACATGAGGGATAAAAAGCAGATCCACAAAGACAGAAATTTATTTTGGTTTGTTGTGTTCCTTACTGTGGTTAACTTTATTCTTTTAATATCAGTTCAACTATAGTGAAGTTAATTTGTGATTATCACTTCTCTAAACAGTTTCAGAAGAGCTCTTTTATGAAAGACAAATTGAAGATATTGTGAGGAGGATGTAGAGTGTTTTTTTGATCACTAAAAAATACATACAGGGAAATCAAACTTGTATATATAAACATAAAAGAAGGAAGGGGGCAAAGAGCAGTGCAGATGAATGGGTTTTTGGTGTGTATATAGTGTTTAGTATGCTGAAAATACCTTTCTTACATTAGGGAATGCATGATGTACTTTGCCTTCTCACCCATTATTTTTGAATAATCTAATTTTAAAAATTCTGTAAAAGTTTATTTTTTATCTCTTACCTGTTTACTGAACAGCCTTGTTTAGATTCAAACTATAGTTGAAGTGATGGGAAGGTCTTCTGTCTGAAATTGTATCTTCTTTGTACATATGGGTTTTTGTTCCTCTATAAAAAAACGTGTTTGTGAGGTCTTGCATATCTCTGCTCTCAACTAGTGACAAGTATTGCTTGATTAGCTATTTATTAAATCATCAGGCATAATTTGCTAAACAGTTTGAAATGTTTTAATACCTTTGTTCCTGGGTGACAAGCTGAAGGCCTTGATTGTACAGCAGCCAACATGTGCATTTAATTTTCAGCTGCTAGTGGACATCAGATGGCTACCTGGGCTACTCTGATATTTGGTGGCTATTATTTTTCTCATTTTCACTGTGAGATATCATCTTGAGTCTTTGTGCACTTTCTTATGTATTTTTGTATCTTACATTGATCAGTATTGATGCCTTGAAGAAAGCTTGGATACTTCTACAGAAGCTATAATAACACCTTGGCTGAAGCTTAACAGTAATCTTAAGAAATACTTTTAATTTTTAATTTACTTCTCTATTCAGAAATAAGTTAAATACTTCTCAGTTTTATAAACTTAAAGATTGATTTTCAATGGACAAGGCTTAATGGGTGCAAACTTTTTTTTGAATAAAAGATTACAATTAAAAAAAAAAAAAGAGGAATTCTTGGTTAATAATGGATGAAAAATCCATTTTCACAGTTTCATGTGCAGTTTTAAAAATAGTGTATTAAAAAATTCTTTTTGTCTTGGCCAGAGTTATGTTTTCTTCCATGGTGATGTAATAATGTTGTTTTCTGAGATGGCTTTTTTTGTTTTGTTGTTATTTAGTGGTCCTTGGCAGCATAGAAAATGATGGTAATTTAAAATAGAATTATAACAATTTTTTTAATGATGTACTGAAGTTAACCTTATATTTTATTATTTCAGTTGTTCATGGTGGACAATGGAGCAGATGACTGGAGAATAGCCATGACTTATGAGCGTATTTTCTTTATCTGCTTGGAAATACTGGTGTGTGCTATACATCCCATACCTGGGAATTATACATTCACATGGACAGCCCGGCTCGCCTTTTCTTACGCTCCATCCACAACAACAGCTGATGTGGATATTATTTTATCTATACCAATGTTCTTAAGACTATATCTTATTGCCAGAGTTATGCTTTTGCATAGCAAACTTTTCACTGATGCCTCATCTAGAAGCATTGGAGCATTAAATAAGATAAACTTCAATACCCGTTTTGTTATGAAGACTCTAATGACAATATGTCCAGGAACTGTACTGTTGGTATTTAGTATCTCATTATGGATAATTGCTGCATGGACTGTCCGAGCTTGTGAAAGGTAAGGTTGTTTTTTTGTTCAGTTCTTTCTATTTGTCTTTCTATTTCTCACTCCTGTTTTGTCTCTTAGACTTTTGTTAGAAAGGGGCTCCCTAGTTCTTGATAATTTGAGTGCTGCTTGGTCTGTATTCTGTGACAGACCTTGTCAGGTGATTGGCCTCATAATGTGAAGGACTTCTGCAAAGAGATCTGCGCCCTACTGTTTACTGTAGCACTACAATTTGATTTCAGTGTGTAGATATATTTAACACAGTGGACAAATACTACAAAATGCCTTTAAGAGCAGTTAATATCCTGCATTTACACCAATTTTCATTTATTTTCTTTGTAAGATAAATGTAGTGAGGATAAGGTAGAAAAAATAGTCAGTGAAAATGCTTGGGGGATGTGTAATTTGAGTTTTATTGTGCTGGAAAAAAAAAAAAACAGAATGCAAAATGCAGTTGAGGAGTTGGCAAGGTCAGTAAAATGGAGCAGAAAGAGCACTTACAGTCATATAACTCTTCCTTTTTTCCAGTGAAAATCATAAGTGCATCTGAGAGTCAGACTTCTAATTTCAGCCGGTTTTCCAGCCTCCCTTTACCACAGACTTCAGTGTAGGTGCAGAATGAATGGTTATCCATGCTGACAACTTGAAATTTAATTTCTCAAATACAGCTTTAACAAAAAAAAAAAAATAAATGGGCTTCTAATTGGATAGGATTGCCTAGGGATATGAGATAGGTTAACTCTAAGAAGACAATTAGAATGATTCTCTATAAAAGATTTAATGCCTCGGACAGCTCTTAGATTCTGGAAGTGATTTTTCCTTCCTTAAGCTGGAAAATCATCAACATATTTAAGGCATTTCTCCCACTGTTTGTTGACCATTTCGTTTTTCTTATTCCTTTCCATGTCTGTTCATTTTAGAATGAATTTAGGGGAGTTACTTGTGACAGCTAGATGATTCAAGTCAGCAGTTAAATCAAACACCATTATGCTTTTTAAAGTTTCTGCTTGCATTCCTTTCTTTTCAACTTGTGTAAGGAAAAATATCCAGTCCTGTAAAATAACTGTAGAAATCATGTTTTTGTAGTTTTATTGTTAAAATTGCTTTGCATCAATATTGTTTCCATATATTACAGCTAGACTAATAGTTTAAGAATATTCTGAAAATACTGTGCTAAGAATGACATATTACAGTTTCAGAATATTCCCCATAGTGGCAGTGGAGGAGTACCCTAGATTTTTACTCAATTTATAGTAGCTGTATTTTCGTTAGCATGTTCTTATTTCAGATGTAACTGACTTCTGCAAACTCTCTCCTCTTGATCTCATATTCTTCACTTCTCTTCCCACCAGTTTTCTTTCAATACAATTGCTGCTGAGGAATTTTTGAGTATCTAGTCAGGCATTTCTCAAACTGTTGGTTGTGAAGTGGCTCTGAATAACTTCAGCATCCATTGCTATCATCATTACATGTAACTGGTTGATGATGGTCATGAGGATGGTGATGATGATAGTGGTGAAATAATAATTTTTTATTAACTTTTTTATGCTCGTGCATTCAAAATAAGCTAGTACTGCTCAGTGAAGATTACTGAAAAATATTTGCTACTGTCTGATACATGTCTTTAAAACATATTTATTTGTTATACAGATTGCTGGATAAGAATGTATAATGTATAAGTAATACTAAAAATAAAAGAAACAAAGACCACCTCACCCATTTTCCAGTCGGGGGAGTGAAGACCACACTCTCACAAAAGTTTTGATTTTCTTACTTTGCTTATTTATATATAGAAAGTGACACACTTCTTCATCACTGTTGTCCTGGGAAGATTATTTGGTTAGGTACACTGAAGTTAGGGTTGCCATAAGATGAATTTTCTTCAACTCTCTGCTAAGTTAGTAATGGATTTTCCACATTTGCAGTTGCTGTCCTTGAATTGACTGTAATAGTGTGGGCAGTAGGCTGAATAGCCACAGAGTCCTCTAAAACTGAAACACAATTAAAACTGAAACATGCAACTAAGAGCAAGTTAAATATAGGAGTGCTAGGCTAATGTATCTCTAGCATTATTGTCTTCTGTTGCTGATTCTCAGTCCAAGATTCATATTTTAAAAAAGGAAAAAAGTTAATTTTATGTTTCAGAAATATGAAAAGGAATACCTTTTGGATTTTTGAATTAGATACTTACGTCATTCATGCTAGTTGCACAGCCAGTTTTGTGGTTTTTGTCCCCAGTTTTCCTTTGTAGGAATATGTCAGTATTTTGCCAAACAAATGATGATGATTCCAGTTACTAGTCCGCCCATCAAAACCATTTAGATCCATAGCCCATATAGAAGTATGTGCTAAGAAAAAGTTCTCAGAAGAAAACCTCAAAACCCCATGCATTGGAATGCTTTTAATATTCTGCCTTCTGAAGTTAAATATCCCTTTTTTGCATAGTTGGAGGCAGATACAATAGGCATTTATCATGAGAAAGGACAAATATGGCCACCGAATAATTTCTGTTCTGTGTAAAAATCATAGTCCTCAAAAGATGTCTCCCAAGGTCTTTATGGCTTTGTATTGCTTAGATGCTGAAAGTTTAGTTTACACAAATAAGGTACATTTTTTCCCAACCGCTCTTGATCTTTTTCTTAGTTTTAACTTTTTTATTTTTTTTTGTAGACTATTTTATGTACATAAAATGATCCTGAAAATAAATTCTGTCAGTAGGAGTGTTTTCTATTCCACTTGACACTATAGATGAAAACATGATGAATTTTGATACATCAAACAGAAATTAGGAATTAGGCAGCAGCCTCATAGCTTTGGTTTGTTTTGGGGTGATTTATATTTTAAAAAATTTGATGGTGTTAACTGTTTCTTTGCAGGACTCTAGCACCTTGCTCTAATTCTGTCACATAGTAGCATTACATAAAAGTTAGCATTAGCAGTATTTCTTTGGTGTTTTAAATCTTTTAAATGATCATCCAAATTGGAACCAAGATGATGGTGGTAAGATATAATAAATTAAAACATAAAGATTTTGGAACAGATAGGAAAGATCCTCATTCTGTTCCATGTTCTCAGTCAGAAGTCACAGGAGGCTGTGTCCTTTATTGTGTAATTATGTGTGCTCAGCAAGAGCTGTTGCTGCTGAATGACAGCCTGATGTTCAGATTGTTTTTCTATTCAAAGTTAGGTTTTTATTGTTGCAGATGATCCTGGGAATAGGAAGGGAGATTGGAAACGCCATATTTTATAGTGAGGAAGGTAACATGAAAGAGCATCATTATCCATCTCTTGAAAGATAACCTGTGGAGACAGGTCATGGGTAGAGCCGGGCAAGTTGACTGTCTGAATAAAGGCTTCACTGCATTAATGGTCATCTGACTGATCACTTGATACACACTGAACTAAGGCAGGACATGTGTCTTTCTCACTGCCTTAATGACTGTATAGTTAGCTCCCAGAATGCTAATTATAGCGAGTGACACTTTGGGTTGGTGAGAAAGGTATTTTCCATGATTGCAGTTTAAGGTCATGTATGAGGACAAAATGTGGTACAGAAAATGGTGGTGGACAGCCAGCTGAGTATAAATGGACTGCTGGGGCTGCAGAGTAATCTAGATGAGGGAATTTGGGAGGTGAGGTGGGGAAAGCATGAAGTGTTGCTATATACATAATGTCTGTTTTGAGGGGAAGATTGCATTGCATAGGTTTCAGCATCTGCTTTCTCATTGACAGTAGCAGTATATTGCTGTTTGTCATCTGTAAGCTTCATAATAAAAATCTAAATTTTTTATTAGGTCTGAAAAGATTTTTGTGTTTATAACATCTCTGAGGCACATGATCTAGAACACTTATGAATATGTTACTTTCATATTTGAATTATGAACCCTACAAGCAGATTAATTTTTGCAGTTTCCCATACATATGTTGTTACTGAGAATAGATTTGTGAATGGATATCAGTTGTTTATATCAGTTATAATAGTTTGGTTTCTCAGGAGAAAGAAAGTGACTATGTTTAACAGTAAGTCATTGAAGAATCTGGCGAGTTTGCTTCTACTCTTCTGTAGAATGAGTGTCTCTTCTGTGAGAAGTGGGCTGCTTTTCTAGGTTGTGTGGAAGGCAGTCACTCTTCATGATCTGGTTTGGTTTGGTTTGTTTTTTGGAAAGGAAGAGACAATATTGTCTTCTGAATACACACATGGGTATAATGTGCCCACGTACCAAGCAGTATGAACTACAAATGCCCACACTGCGCTGTTGTATGTCCAGATCACATCATGTGCCTGGCATTTCTATGGATTTGCAGAGGAGAACTGAGAACAGAACTGGATTTTCTTCTTCCGCAGAGAGAACACTTTTGGCATTCTTCGATGTTCTATTTGTTCGTCTCTTTAACTTCTGGCAATGAATTCAGTTCAGTTTGAGCAGTTTGTTTTAGTCAGCATTTCTTCCTTTTGTCAGTTTCTGCTCTGTATTCTTTCCTTGCTTTAGCAGAAACAAACTCAAACAAAAAACACAGACATATGCAAAATCCCATCTGTGTATGATGGTGAAATCTTTTTCTGCTTTCTTCTCATTCTTGTTTTCTACAAATAAATGTCTGTCTTATTTCTTAGAAATATGATACCATTACAAAGTTTCCAGTAAGCAGCTCACACATGACAATTGGGAGGCAAATGTTAAGGATTCATTTGATACAAGCTAGTGGATACACTGACACTTTCAGTTGTAATTCATGAAGGAAAAAATGTTTCTTAGCTATCTAATTTCCTCTCAGTATGTATTTCAGTTCTTTGCTTGTCTTGAAGACCTTATCTGATGTTGTACATTGCATGCATATTTACAAGGCCACCTTTTAATGGAAATTGTTTTTTGCGTTCTCTGCAGTGCCAGTGTGAATATTCTTGTTCTTAGTTTAAAAAAAAGCAATCAAAACCCCCCACAAAAAACCCAACAAACAAGGAAACAAATCTGCCAACAACAAATCAAGCCTGGATACTTAATTTTTAGACT